TTACGGGCCTACCACTGAGTCAGTAAGTACATAGAACTGATTATGAGTATCGATTGACCACTCCAGAAAATACCATAATATACCATGTAATACTCTTTGTTTGTCACCCCAAAATTTTGCATAAGCATTGTTTTCAGTTTCTCTTGGGAGTTAAAATGGCCCCATGAGAAACTGAAAACAGTGCTTATGCAAAATTTTGGGGTGACAAACAGAGAGCATTGTGGTATGTTATGGTATTTTCTGGAGTGGTAAATTGAGGTTTCTGAGTAACTGACCACCTACCCCTCCCTAAGTCACAATTTTGCCCTAAGAAATAAGTGTTAATTGTGACTTAGGGGTGGGGTAAGTGGTCAGTTACCCAGTAACCTCAAATGATCCGATTATGACAGGTGGTAGAGGGACCAGAAAACATGGCACCGATTCAGAATGATCAGCCGCACGATGGTGAGAAGTTTGGATTTAGGTCGTTCTGGTTATCTAAAGCTGGAGTTTTTACACTCAAGTATATTGCCATGTTGGGAGACAGAGAAATGGCATCAACGCAGTTTCGGATTGTTGTTAAAGGTGAGTGCACAGCGCTTAAGTGTTTGATTATTGGTTAACTCGTGAAGCTTGCTAGAAAACAACGCGAAAATTTGAAAGGTTTTTAGTGTTTTATTTGACTGGTGGCGTTATATTGGCTCGCTTTACCCGCGATTTGACAGGTAGAGATTACGTTAAGCAGCCGGAATGCGGGGTTTGCGGTTGTACAGGGATTAATTTTTGCTTAATATAGACTGTCTCCAACAAATCAAAGTTCTTAAGATAATTATTCAAAGTGCATGCTACAGTTCCTGCATAACGAATTTATCAGGGATTTAAATTGCGGTTTTACCTCTATCCGATTGCCTGTCTTATGAATCAATAAAAATGGTGTTCGCCTCTTTAGAAACGAGAAAATAGCGTCCCGCGATTGTCTCTGGGATTGTTACTGGGAAGGCAACGCTGTTACAGTGATATGGGTTTCCCCGCGTTTTGGACATCCCCATTCCCAAAACCCTAGTGATATGGGCATTCCCTTCTCATATTACCTTAGTGATCTGGGTTACAGGGGATGCCCATATCCCCAGGGTTTTGGGAAAGGGGATGCCCAAAACGCTGGGATGCCTATAACACTGTGACACCGCTATCGACAAATTTTTTCCCCTGTCCCTAATTACAGTCCCAGAAGTCTTTTCGAAAGTTAATTGGGTCCAGTTTCCTTCTTGCTTATAAAGAAGCGAATAGTCAAAACCTGTTTTCATTTCTCTCGCTTTACGCAGCCAGCACCGCCTCTCTCTTTGCCCTAACTGAGCCCTCACGAACAGAGACTCCCCAGGTCGCCCTGGGTGAACCGGGCCTGAAGTTTAAACTGGCCTTCACAGACAATTACAAGAACCCGGCAACGTTGTTCAGTTCTGGAGAATTCGTGAAGCTGAATGTGACATGTGCCAATTTGAAAGTGCAAGGTTTGAAGGACAAGTACAAGACAAACAGTGACGGTGTTCTCGAGGTCAGCGGTATAGCCCTCACCCCGAACGGTTCTGACAGGGTGCAGTATGGGAAAGAGCTGTCTGTGAGAGTTGACGTCATTGGGATTGAATATGACAATTTTGTCACTTTTCCTGTGAGGATTAAAGCTGGTGAGTACATAAACTGATTAAAATAGAATGTTTTTTGTAAGCTAAGTAATGGTAATAGGTCGTACAGTTGTTCGAAGCTGGGTTAAGATAACCCAGGGTTAGTGAGAAATTTGAACTCAACTATGGGAGCTTGAAAAGCAAATTCAGTTTTATTCTCTTTGCCTACAATTTGATGATTGGATACTCTAAAAAGAATAAAGAAAAATTATCCGAGAAAGTGCTTTTGATAACAAGAAAAAGAAAGCTGGGTGAAAATTTAATCTCAGGTAAGTGTTAACGGCGTTCGAAATGGCCTCTTTCGAGTCATGCTTCGTTCGATTCTTCCTAACCTTTCATTATGAACCTGCGTCTGTTCTCTGCTATACAGTGGAATCCCGCTCTACGGATACCCGCTTAATACTCTTAATACAGACACCCGGATACTACGGCGGCCATGTTGGTTTCTAGCGTAGCGATGCTAAAACCCCGACGCCCACCCCCTCGTTACATTTGAAAAAAAGATGGCCGCCCGTAAAGAGTGTACTGTATTTTCATTATATTTTTCTATTAAAGTAGACACAATTAATTGATAAGCAGACTTGACGTAGTTTGGTGTTTTTAAAGGCATACTAGATAATCCTGTTTTATAGGATTAATTGTGAAAGCTTCTTTACATTCCTACAGATATCCTGAATCCAAATGGATATAATCTTATCCGGTTTTATAAGAGATATACTTTTATAATGATATCCCCAGACAATAAGCCGTTTATGTAAAGCTTGCATCGGTTGCCAAGTGATATCAGACGTGATATAAGCCCAGGAAAACAAGCTAGGGACTATTTGGCTTGCGTAAACTTTGTCGGCCGATATGTCGAGCAGAGAAAGGCGAATTTTGAGGCGAGTATTATGCCGGCAGAATAAGGCGTTTCCGCACAGAAATTGAGCAGTTTAGCAGAAACTGGTAACAGATTAGTAACAGTGATGATATGCACAATAGTTGTACAAAAAAATTAACAAACAAAAAAGTGGTAAAACTAGAAAATCCTAAGTTAAAAACTTTATCATTTCTACTAATGTTAGTGATATTGTACAAGATAAATTACAGGTTTGCTCTGCATGCCCTCCGTTCAGATTTGCGAAAATACATTCCAAAAAGGGGAAATTTTTCAGCTATTAAGCAGATATTTGTGCAGTATTTGGATGTTGAAGCAGAATTTCTAGTAGAATAAGCGATTTTACGAGTATTCCCAGCAGGCAGAATCAGCCATTTTATCCAAGCTTAGTGACTTGTGTAGAGCGCAGGAAACTATGTAACGTGTTAAAGCGCGTGAAAACATGTTGTAGCTATTTTTGTCAACCAATCGGAGCGTTAAAATCAGCAGACAGTGACAGTCGAATTAACCTCCCTTACTGTACTTTCGTGTGTAAGGCGGTGGATTAATAACAACTCGTTTCCCAGTTCCTATGCTTAATTCTTTTGATGTGAGGATTACGGTTGGAGCAGTGCTATGGAACGAAAGATAAGAATTTGACTTTTGTCTTCGCAAGTGTTTGGTTACGGTCGCACTGTAGGCTAGTCTATCCAGAAAGCCTGTTGTTGGTCCTTTTGGCTCCTGTTTGCATGTCTAGTTACGTATAATGTACTGATTTTATAACGCGAAATTGCACTTTTTACCGACGTATTCACATCAGATGGTTGAATTTCCAGTGATGAAGATAAACACATGTGAGTTTGATTAAATTTCTTCAAGTAAGGAGTTGCTATTGCAAACTAAACTAGCGTGCACGAAACCTTAATCCTAAGGAAGAAAACGTCTCACGTCCTCCTACCTTTTTTGAATTTTTGTGTGCATCAGTGCTACACTTTATGAAGGAAATTTCTGCCTGCGTGTACACGTAAACTGCATTCTAATGCAATTAAAAGCAGTTAACCCCTGACGCCTCAATATCCACATACAAATTCTCCAGACTGTTCTTCATACATTTCCTCAAAGAATTAGTTGAGAGAAGTCGAATTTGTTAAACGATCGAAGCATTTTTCCCTGATTATTTAATTCTCATAAACTTTTCTCTTGATTTTGTATTTATATCGTTAGGCGAAAACTGATTTTGATCACTCTTGCATGGGACTTAAAGAGCGCAATCAGTGAGAGAGTAGTCATTTATCGATCTGTAGGTTGCGGGTCATTTTCGGTGTAAAAACCTGTGAAGATTTTCTTTGTTTTCTAGCTGTTATTTTCCTGGGCTCTGTTGTGGCTTCTTTCTGTTAATTGTTTTACGTCACTCGCGAGTTTCACAGGTTTTTACAGCCAGTATGAGCCGTAGGCGCGTCTTCAATAATTTTTGCATGTTGTCCTTCGGTACCCGCATTTTAAAATAACAATATTGAAGTTCGAATGAGGCCTGTCAGTACCGTTGAAATTAAAGGTTAAAAATCCAACCTTTCGTCGATCAAGGGCACCAGCAAGGATGATGAGGCACAGTTCCTTTAGGTTTGCGTAATTAAATTAGCTTAATTGCGTTCGAAGGGCGCAGTTCTAATGGTGTTCTGCTACACAGCCGTTCTTTGTGTGTGGAGGAGTGTTGCGTGACGACAAAAAGAACGGCGATGTAGCAGACTATTCTAATGGCGTCTTGTATGGAACTTTTCCCTTTTTTGACGCCACATTAGTTGCTCGTGCATAATTTTTTAAGGGCTTTCTCTCGCACGGGAACTGGTATCTATTTTCAACCTTCATAAATCAGGTGAGTCATGAAGTGAAATCTCTTCCCCACTCCCCTTCCCTGTCGAGCCCTTAAGGGTAAAAGCTTGGGTGCAATGATTTCTGGGATTGTTTGGATGAACAAGCGTTAGTTATGATTGGTCGATGGTATTCAAGGCAGTCACTAACCAATCATAAGTAACGCTTGTCCATCCAAACCATCCCAGAAATCGTTGCGCCAAAAGCTTGAACCCGTATGGTTTTTATCTGATACCACAGGCCAGCCGCAGAGTGTAAAGCTCCCTCAGTTTGAAACAAACGAAGTATTGAACTACGAAGAGTTTCCTGAGTTTACAGTTCAAGTCCTTGATCAGTGGAGTCAGCCGTGCTCTGTGAACGACAGACGAACCAAGCTGCATGCGGAATGCGAAGCGTTTGTTGGCGGCCCTCATCTTGCCACCATTGAGCAGGGGCAAGGTCGTTTTTCGCCCATTAAAGTGAAGCTTGCGCCTGGAAAAGCTCCTTGCAACGTGAAAATCAAGATATCGCTCGTTTCGGTGGAAAATATTCGCCGGAAGCTGACGGTCAGCGAATCGCTCAAGGAGCTGAAACAATTTACCATCAAAGTTCTTCCTAGCACTTTGCCTCACAAAGTGATGATATGCGAGGGAAACCAAAATGAGTTGACGGCGGCGAATGGAGTGGCGGTGAATGGTAGGGATGGAAGAGATTGCTTAGAGCTGATGGCGCCGGCAGGCTCTATGGTGAAAGGCCTGTTCCTCAAGGTTTTTGATGAAAGTGGGAAGTTATTGGATGCTGAGGAGTTCAAGGCCGCTGAACCTAGAGTTACCACGAGCTGGAACGGAGAGGTTAGGAGATATTAGTAGATAAAGCACGAGAAAGTTAGTCGCAGTAATGTTTACAACTTTTAAGCTGTTATAAATAAATAAATAATAATAATAAATAATATAACCTTTACTATGTGTATTAACGTCATTAAATCTGAATTCTGATGAATTATTTGTTTGTTTTTGCCAGGTATCAGTTCAGAATTTACCGTATCTGCCAGACTGCCCTGTGGCGAGCATGGTCGCTGTCCCGTATGTGGGTAATGTGGAGTGCGTCTGTAGTGACGTCAAATGTCAGACCCAAATAAGGATTAAACCCATTGCAGGTACATAAATTCATTAGGGAGCTTAACCAACCACAGTGCCGACAGCAACGAGAACGGCAAAAAAGCAATAGGGCTAGATTAGCAAAACAACAACTCTGCACGTGCATCATGCTTTTTTGTATACCGTAAAATTCCGAAAATACGCCCCTCCATGTATAAGCCCCTCCAAATATAAGCCCCCCAAACTTGTAACGCAAAAAACCGTCCGTTAAATCGCCCCTCCATATATAAGCCCCCCGGGGGTTTGTACTCTGAAATTCCCCTCAAATACAAAATAAAACAAAGCAAAAACGGTAAATTTCCTTCCAACTGTAAGGCTAGCCCACTCGATTTTGAAACGCAAATTTCCCTCCATAGATAAGCCCGTCCAATATAAGCCCCGTCCGAATTTAAGCCTTTGAAAAATATAAGCCCCGGGGCTTATTTTCAGAATTTTACGGTATTTCTTTGCCGTTCTTGCACGACTACGAGGTGAAACTTTCTAATTTCACGTAGTATGGAGGACGTAAACACAAGACAATGATTTCCCTTTTCCTGTTTCTGATCTTGGACCAAGTCATTTAGGATTAACTCCAGAAAACTTCGCCCGCATTTGACAGACTGAAAACTAGGGCCACTCGTTTGAACCCTAAGCGTTTTGAATTACAGGCGGACAATTCAGATCTAACTTATGTTTGTTGCGAGGATTTACTCACAAGGAGCACAAAGAGGATCCAAACACCTTTGCGATGCACGGCCAAATTTACCGAGAAACAAGTGCTTGCGTGTACCCGGGTCCCGCCGCACACGAAAAAAACCTCTGCTACCCAGGGTAGCTGGCGCACAAGCCCTGGAGCTAATGAATCAATTTATGTTGTTGGCTGGTCGGTTTTATTTTCATTTATTTATTTTTTTTGACATGACGAGGAACGAGTTTCTGGTGAGGGTTTCTTGCGCCCGATAATCTCGAAAATCACGCCAATGAAGGAAAAGGAAAGAAGAAAAAGAAAGAGCAAGAGGAAAAAGCAATGGCTGCACTCTTAGTTTTTATATTGGCTACTTTGACCGGAAGAGGTCTGTTTGGCGGGAACGTTTTCAAAAATCCGGCTAGATGTAGAATTCGTCATAATTGATAGTTGTTTTATTCTTCCAGGTGAGCCGCAGAAGTGGTTATTCGTGTGCGAGGACCAAACTTTGCAAATTGAGTGCGACAGCAAAAGACAGTTGAGTCAAAACCTCAAGATTCGATTGAATGACAAGTTTGGCAATCCTGCCGAGTGTCCTCAAGGGGTGGAACCCATGGTATCAGTTGAACATTCACCATCAAGAAGGTTAGTTAAGGGCCAATTACACCGGCGGGGTTTTAGCGCAATTTGTGGCGCGAAAAAAGCGGCCCCGGGGATCTGGTTGCAAACCTGAATGGCGCGTGTAAACGGTTTGTGATTCAGCGCGAATTTCCGCGGCTAAATGGCCACAAATGTTATATGATTGAAATTTAAACCAACTTAGTGGCGCTTTTCAGATCAGTGAGAGTACAAATTTCTGTCCGCCAGATACGTTAAGAAGTTAACATATGCATCAAGGTATTGTTAAAGAACACTGCTCTTGAGACATTTTGCCCTAAAGGGCCTTTCTGAAGTATTGCCTACCCCATCCCCTCCAAGCAATGTTGGGCCGCTTTTCGAGCTACCTGTAGGAAGCAACAAACACTCCAACATTGAATAGAGCGGGGATGGGGGCGGAGAGGTGTAGGTTGTTTTGTTCTCCGAAGTTACCCCATCTAAGGACAGTGTCTCAACAATTTTGTCGCCGATTGAAGGCCAAACAATGCGAATTAATGAGCAGTGGCCACACTTTTAGGCTTCGTAATGTAAACTTTATTTAACACTAACGCATGTTCATTTGTTAAGCAGTAGTTATGCAGTGTTGTTATATAGCTAGAAATTTCTTTCCAACAGCGCGTGCCCTCATTGCGTACTTCGAGGTCACATGACATCTAACAATGAAACTGTTTCCCCGCAAAATCTCTGAGTGGGAAATATTGCACAATCTATGATGTCAGAGGGTAGCAGTGCACTGTTGCCTGCGAATGTTGACCAATGACCGCCGTTACAGCGAGGTTTAATGAATTTCCAGCTTCAAAATTTCCAGTTATATAACAAATCACTAAAGATTGGTCCCTCGGGAAACAGTTAATTTTCTTTCTCTCGAATCTCAGTGTTTCCTGAGGCGAACATTGAGATTCTCGGAAATCAAAGTTAACTGTTTCCCTCGGGACCAGTCTTTAATTGTTTATTGTTTCTTTTCACTAGTTTACAAGGTGAATGTAGTATTTTTTTTTTGTTTTACATCTCTACAGTGGTAGCACTGCTGTGTTTATCGGAAATATCAGTCGTAAAGGCTCGGAATTCGTGTTCAATAGTGAAGCCACCATTTCAGGCCAGCCTGGTGTAATAACCATGTGTCTGTACGACAATGATAACAAGTTCTCTAAAGACACGCAAAGAATCAATCTCAAACCTGGTGAGTGCGGGCACCTGTATATTATCTCACAGGGAGCCCACAGAGTCTGTTTGTGTAACCGATTGTAATTTTATAGTATAAGTGTACTGGATTTACCATTTGCTTCATTTGTAATGTTATGTGGCTAAATAAGTGCGTGGATCAGTGCTAAATAATAGTTTTATTACCTTACATACATGAGAGGACAGTAAACAACAAACTCCCTTCTCAGGCAAAAGGACGACAATTTACCGTAGGCAAGGTAATAAAACGTTTATTTAGCATTGATCCATGTACATATTTAGCGATATATCGCTACAGGTGAAGCAAACGGTAAATCCAGTACGTTTACTATAAAATTACAATTGGTTACGCAAACATATTGTGTGGGCGCCCTGTGGTCATTTTGCGTGTGGTAATCACTAGCCTGGGTTAGTCACAGACTAAGAACCTAAGAACATAAGAACCTATTTAAGAACCTAAATAGCAACCGTCCAAGTTAAAGTTTTTGCTCGGTCGCCATTTGGCCACCAACTCTTTTGGCTTAGGGAGACTTTTTTAAAAATCAAGTCGCCAGCTCCAAAATTTTAGGCACCATGGCGACCAAAATAGTCGCAACTTGGAGGGTTGTATAATAGCCTAAATTTGTGTTAATTACCATTTATTCAAGAACCTGTTAAGGCTAACTTGGGAAATGCGAGTTCTTAGTCGCGGGTTTTTTTACTGTATGCCAAAGTTGTTTGCTTTTGTGAAGAATAAAACGTAACTTTGAAAGATGAACATTACAGGTACGTTTTGTGGTTTAGCTGGAAACAACAGGTATGATTCTTTATGTCCTACACGTAGTTTGAAATTCTCCTGGGCCATGAACACGTCGGAAAGTTCATCTAGTACTATGTACCATTTGTTCGATTCATGAACTTTGAAAATTCCACGTAAAATTAAACTTTCACCAGCACTTTCATTCAGAATTCACCAAACTTCGTCAATGCGGGAAAGATAAGTGTAGTTGGTCTGGCCATAAGACATTTTGAGCGTTGAAATCTTAAACACGAATTTAAAAATGTTCCATTATCATTAAGAAGTGCTTGTGGTACAATTTCTCGATTGAAGACAAAGAGACAGGATAGGTAAGGCTAACTTTTTCAAGTTCTTTTAGCGAGCCTCGAAAAAATGGCCAAAAAATAGTGACTCGTTTGCTTCACACTTCGAAGATTTCACTCATAATAGACTTCTTAGTCTTCCCGGAGCCGTTTTGTGTTCTTGTAGGAGATAGGGTATTTGCTGTAACTTTAACAGCTTCACTCTAGGGTGAGTTAAGGAGACATAAAACTTAGTTTTGAATCGTTGGATATAATCCCGTGGTGTAACCATTCAAATCAAACCTCCGAAACAGAACGTTTGAATGGTGCAATTTATATTTTCAGAATTTCACCGAGCGAAATTTGATTTTTTTTCTTCAAGTATGACTTTGACCAATGGTTACCAAACGTGTGAGAATGTAACAGTGCCCTTTTTATGACACGAGAAAGAAACTGGGCCGTGTTAACTCTCGCAAAGACGTGTGGGAATGTTATTAGGGACAGAGGAAAAATTGGCCAATAGCTGAACGGCACGTCACCGATAACGATCCCAGAATCACTTGCGGGACACAAGTTCCCTTAGTTTCTAAAGTGGTGAATTAAAACTTTCCTGTCAGGTGCTCCACATCACATTGAGTTGAAAAGCCAAGCATTTGATGACTCTTCGCCCAAGAACGAACATACAGCCAAGTTTTTCTCCAACTGCTATCTTAGCGCTCCTATCTTTGCTTCCATCTGTGATAAGTCTGGAAACAAGACGCCTCTCAAAACAACGCTGAACCTCTCCTGGATTCCAGCTTCCTGCGGACAGTTGCTGCCGAGAAAGACCACTCAGAAGGGAGAGACAGTGTTTGAAGCCAAGGCGATGAGGTGCGGCAGTCGGAGCGGTGAGCAGCAGGTCAAACTGAAGGTGTCCAGTCCAGACCATAAGAATCTGCAGGTGAGATACTGCCCTTTTATTCAAATGCACTACAAAATATTTCTTTCATGGAGAGTTTAATCAAGGTCTGGAAGGGGTTTCGCGTGATCCGATAAAACAGAAATACCGTCAAATTCCAAAAATAAGCCCCGCGGCTTATATTTTTCAAAGGGCCTTTTTGAGGGGCTTATATTCGGAAGGGCTTATCTACGGCGGGAAATTTGCGTTTCTCAATCGATTGGGCTAGCCTTATAGTTGGAAGTAAATTTACCGTTTTTGCTTTGTTTTACAAAGTACAAGCCCCCCCCCCCCCCCCCGGGGGGGGGGGCTTATATTTGGGGGGGCTTATTTTCGCTTTTTTTTAGTGTCGTGACAAGGGTTCGAAGTTTAACCATGTAAAAGTGAAAACTCGTAGAACTTCGATTTTATAGCAATGAAATTCATTGCCAGTCTAACTTTTAGTCGTTAAACAAAAAAGTAGAGAATCACTAGTTTGATCACACTACTTTTTGATTCATTCCGATCACACGGTCATTTGAGAATAACTCTTGCCTGAGTAGTCCAGCAACCACTAAGAATCATTGATGGCCTTGATCAGTTCGTCAACTAATCACGTTATTCGTGAAACGACTCCAGTAGGTAACGTGATTGGTGAATGTACGGAAATTTAACCTGTGATTCGAGATCCAGACGCCCCCTTTCAGACCCTGTTTAATTTATGTGGGGCTTTTTCAAGCATAGTAAAGGTGTAAACTCGCCTTAACCGTCAAAGTTTCAAGGTCAATTTTCTCCTAAAAATATCTATACATCTTCAATAAAAAAGGTTATAACAATTAATAATTTGATCACCAAAGGGAAAATGTTTGGATCTCTTAGAGAAGTGAGGGAATCACATGACTGTAGCACGGACCGAAATTATATCGCAAAAACGTCTCCATTCAGTTTTCATTAATTTCCCTTGCTTTCTCTGTTCTTCAGGCAGCAACTGTCACAGCGTCTCTGGAGAAAAGTAACCGTGTGAAGGCCGTGGTTGTAAAAGTAGTCGCGGAGCAGAATCTCATGGCTACAGGCAATTTTCCTGTGTTAAAGGTGAATTTGAGCAGCTAAAACAAGGGAGCGACGACGACCGCAAAGAGAACGTCCAAAAACAATTAGCTTTAGAAGTGGAACAACAAAAGTGCACGTACATTACACTTTTTGTGCATTGTTTTGAAATGGGTCCTCTGCACAACTACAACGTAAATTTTTCTAATGTTGGAAAACTTGGCTACTGGACGACAAATTCTCCTTTCTTCGTGAAATTGGATGCGGTCTCTTACAATTCAACTCCTGGAAATTCCTTTACAATTGAAGAATTGAACGAGATGGAATAATAGCGGTGAAGTTTGAACCAGCGCGAAGTTATTTTTAGTGTTGTCTTTACTGCTATCGTCGTTGTGACTGCTCGAGCTCCCTTTTTTCCCATTTCATGTTGTTAGACCGACACTCTCGAGATTTGGTGAGTCAAATGTGAACTAAGTTGCGTGGATAAAAAGCTTTCTTTGTTTGAATACTATTACTTTAAATACTTCGCAACACTTTTGAGTTTATATTAGCGAGGGACACCGCCGGTTGTTACCCTTCGAAGATATTTTTTATTTCGTGATAGTGATGTGTGTGTTTGCTTCGATAACGGCACTTTCCGGGCGCTAACTAGACCATAAATTAAGTGACAAAGTTGTCAACTTAAGTCAAAGTGCGACTGTAACCTCATACCCAGATCTCTTCGTCAACAAGAGATATGGGTACGAGATTAAGTGCGATTGGTTACTAAAAAACTGCTTTTACCATCAAACAGGTGAGATGTGAAACGGAAGACGGAGTCAAAGTTGATGGGGTCGGGCACCTTAATCTTGAAATATCCCGGCCGCGTGGTCCGCAGACCATCACGGTTTACAGGAAGCCTACTCAGGACAGAGAAGGCCTAGTAACGTTTCAGCCATTAGCAAACCGGTATTTGGAGGAGGCGGGGCAGTGGTCACTCATCTGTCATTACAACGAACATAGGGATAGACTCAAGAGCGTTTTAGCACCTGCCGACCACGTGACTACCAGCCAGCCAGTCCAATTTTTTGTGCACCCAGGTAAATGTGTATTGGTGGATGTGTACAACAACAGTTGTTATGTTCAAACTACAGTCAAACCGCGTTAATACGGGCACTGAAGGGGCCATTGAAAGTGTCCATATTAACGGGGTGTCGGTATTAAGCGGGTTGAATTTAGAGAAAATGTAAGGGCTTTTTTTCCCCAGGGACAAAGCAAACTGTCCGTAATAATGAGGTGTCCGTATTAAGCGGGGGTTCGTCAAGCGGGGTTTGACCGTAGTAGGTATTTTATCAGGCTTTTTACCCTAAAAAATAGACTCAACCCATTCTCAAAAAAACCTTCATAATTTTGACACTCTGAACTCCTCATTACTTGCGTTATGCGCATGCGCGTATTTAACAACTGGTGAACCTAACAAAAGGGAGCTTTTAGTAAAGGGGTTTTTCAACAACGCACGTCAATAGGAAGTGAAGCCTTTTCCTTTTCAGTATGCCTTGATGCTCGCAATAATGATAGTAGCCTGCGTGGCAGGCGTTCGAAAGGGAAGGGGAAGGGAATTAGGGCGCGAGACCGCGCGCGAGGGAGAAGCACCCCACACGCTCTCGCGCGACCAAATTCCCCCTTCCCCTTCCCCTTCCCCTTTTAACGCTTGCCTCGCAGGCTATAATGATAGGTTAGTGTCTTTATTCTTAAAGAGACGATATGCCTTAAATTTTGAGCACAACCACTTCCCAAGATTGCAAAAAATCTACTTTCCGTTGATGCGCGTGGCTAAGTGCCTTTCCTTAAGCGCCCTAATGTGCGGTACGAGTGACCCTTGTAAATTTGAGTCTTCTTGATCAAGCGGTTGAAGCGACAGACAGAAAATAGAAAAGCATAAGTTCGATCATTCCGCCTGGGATTCACTTTTTCGTAGTCTTAACGCTCGTGACAAAAATCTTGTCGTCCTAAATGTCGCCTGAACTCTAATTTGGTTTTGCTTCCTCCCAGGTCCTCCTAGAAGACTCGTTCTTCGCTTTCCATCTGGTTCTCCCACAGTCCTCAGCGCCTCTTGCACTGCTGACGTCAAGGGTCGCACCATTCTTCCTCTGGCACGGAGAGGGTTAGTTGCACAAATTACTCATGTACAATGTTATGGTTTACTTATTAGGGACCTTGAGATTCTAAGACAAGGACGACTACGGGGACGAGATTTTCTCAGTACTAAGTAGTGCAGCGTCATTTTGACGGGAAAACACTATAGCCGTCGTCATTCTTCTGCGGGTTTTACCGAAAATGTCGTAGTGGTGGAAGCAAGTTGTCAAATGTTAGAAGTTTTATCATTTTTTTTATCGTGGGAGGGCTTAACCTCCTTCAATAAAATCGACCGTGTTAACTTTTCTGGTGAAAATAGGAAAACGGCGCTTTCGAGGTTGTCTATTTTTTCAGAATTCGAGAAAAACACTTTTAAGTCTCGTAGTTGTCTTCGTCCTCGAATCCAAAGGTTATGATACTGAAGACATTTTGCTGCGCTTTTTCAAGTCACTTCCTTTCCCGCTACTGAAACGGGAAACTTATCCCCGAGCTTGTTAAGATAATTTATCCCGACCGTGTTCGCTGCCAGTCACCAATTTTTCCCTTGTTTGTTGCCGGCTGCGATTTATCCCGCGCTTGTTGCCTTTTGTATGTTTCCCGGTTTTATCGTCCGTTTTTTCCCTTCGTCAACAACTTTAAATGTTCGAAAGGGCTAGTTGAAATCAAGTTGAGTAGATCCCTTGGTTAATCATCAGTATGACCCTAAAATGCAAAATATGCTGATTTCTTGTTTCTTAGTGGAGTCGAAGACGTCATCCTTGCTGCTGAAGACGCTCATGGCAACATGGCCGAATCGTCTTTGGCGGTTAACGTTGGCATTCAACCATCGGGGACTGTGCCCGAGGGTACAGTCTTACCAGCTCTGGAAAACAGTCCCATCCAGATCACGCTCAACCATGGTAGTGCCAAGTTACCAAGGCTTACACTTTGCAGTCGTGTGGGGAATTATATCGGCGAGTATCTGTTAGTGTTTTCGGCACCCGGAGTTGAGTCTCACACTGTTAAGTTCGCTTTTAGCACAGGTAAGTACAGTAATATGCTTGAGTAGGAGTCTTTCATGGCTTCTGGCTTGACTAAAATTTTTTTTTAATATTTACTTGACGTTACTCCTTTTTTGTATTAACTTGTGAAAAAGGGGGCCATTTCTGAAGTTAAGCTAAGTTCAACTCCCTCGTGATCACTTGCAACGTTCCAAGTTGAGACCCTGACACGTCTACTGCAAATCTGAACCATTGAGCTACAAGTCAAGTTTCATTCCTGTTGAATCGGTCTAAAGGCGGCTTTTCTCGCGTTTTCGTGTATTTTAATCTCCTCCCTGCCAACACGCACCTCTCATCAAATGAAAGAAAAGTATTTTGTGGCAGGCACTTAAGAGGAAACGGGGATACGTGCAATCAGCATAGTGTGTGTAGGAATCAGGAAGGAATTTCGCGCATCCTAAAGCACTTGCGCGCTCGGGATTTTCCCTCCTCCTCTCTTTCTTGCGGATACCACGTAGGTGCAGTATAGAAAGAAGTGTGACGTCACGTTACCATGGTTGCAAAATTTCTGTACCTCAACAATCTTTCTTGACAGAGACGGCCATTTGCAGTGTCGATCGATGGAAGAAAAGTAACGGGCTACCGTTTTGTTTCTGAGTGCAATCATCCACAGGGAAGACAAGCATGCCAAGTTTTTTGTTTCTTTCTGCGATATTTGCAGGACCACGGTTTGTTAAGATCCTAAAATTTTGCTACCACGGTAACGTGACGTAACAACTTCTTAAGATCAATTTAGGGAAATGTAAGGGCTTTATTTCCCCGGGGACAAAGCAAACTGTCCGTAATAACGGGGTGTCCGTATTAAGCGGGGTTTGGCTGTATCACCGAGAGAGGTATAACCAATCATTTATGCGCTATTTTAAACAAATCAGTAGCCACGACTGCACATTTACCTTCGTTTGTGAGACCAATTAATGCTTCCTTTCGTTCTTTTTTTTTTTTTTTTGTCGTTGTGATTGTGCAAAAAAAACAACAACAACTACAACAACTTATTGCAAAAATTGCTCTAAACCACTTTGTATTTCAGATGAACACATTCAGCGGGTACAGAACGAGCTTCAGCCACTCAGGAAGCAGATCGCAGATCTGGAACAAAGCGTCCGAGAAAGCAAACAGAAGGTGAACCGGACGAAGTCGGAAGTAGTGGCAGCTCTTACTCCAGTAAGAAGTTCTTTCAGGGGGGAGCCACGCACTCGAGATGTGGTAAACGTTCTCCAAACCACCAGATACCAGTTGAACCAACTTGAGACTGCTGGAGCAGTTACTCGGCCACCCATTATACAGAATGGACCCCCGGCCAGGATAAGACAGTACATAAAAGGTAAGGAACCTGTGTTGCTGTAAACGTGCCAGTTGTGCATAGCTTTAAGTCCCAATAGTGACCAACATCGATTTTCTCCTAACAATATCCATATGTTGCCAAGAGAAATAGTTATAAGAGTTAATAAAATGATCACTAAAGAGAAAATGCTTTGATCTGCTATCAAATTCGTAACTAATTGCTTAAAGAAATGTATGAAGATCAGTATGGAGAATTTATATGTGGATATTGGGCCTCAAAGGCTTAAAGTGGCTATGCCACGAGGATATTGCTGTTTAAGATTAACCCTTTAAATCCTAAGATCAAAATTTGAATTCTCATTTGTTTCCCCTATTCATTTCCTACAGAAGTAGTGGGGAGAAGTTGATGAAATATCAAGAAAATTTATCTTGTGTGATCATGTCCTTAATTCTCATGACCACTCTGTTTTACAAAGCATTGGTATTGTAGAGAACTGGAACTAGTTAGAATAATATCGAAAAGGACTGGCTCTAGCCAAGATGATGTAATCGCAAGATGGCGGAAAACGCCACCGACACGTATTAAAAGAGTTAGAAGTTTGGAGTAATTTGTGGTTGATTTAGGCGTGTAGTCTAACAAAATTGGCGACCCTGCCAGGACTTGTAACCCGACGAAGATGAAACACTGGATGGAACGTTTCTGGCGATCGATTTTGGTATGTTTTTGAGCATATTTGTGTCTCTCATCGCTTTGACCACGTGCTTCCACTGCCCGCCATTGTCAATCGGAAACATCGGAACTGAGGCCTTGCCGATGATGGCAGAAGATCTTCAATTGGAATTACAGTCTAGCATCTATGCCGCGGACTGGAGCTCACTCGAGCGAATGGCCAAGTTCTTCGAAGTTGAATATGAGGGAAAAACAAAATTGTTTGTGGCGAAACGTGTTGCTCTACGGCTCGATGATGAAATTGAAAAACTGAAGGAAGCCGAAGTCGTGCCGTACCTCAAGGACGTAAAAGAAATGCTGACAGAGAAACCCCATGGCATCAAGAACGATGAAGAAGATGGTAAGCCAGTTCTAAGTGATTCAAAACCTCCTCCCGTAGCGAAGGAAGATCCTGTTCAAAAACTACTAGCGACTAGCGCTTTACGTAGACAGTTTAAGATCAGTGGTCAAATCGGGGAACCCGAGCAGAAAGACAAAATTAGTTTTTCTTCCCTTATGCGTCAAATTCAAATGGGGTTGGCCCAAGGTTATGGCGAGAGTGAAATTGTTGATGGTGTTATTCGCTCAATTACACCTGGCATGGTACTTAGGAGTTACCTCGAAACTTACGAAGATTTGACATTGGATCGGTTAAAGAAAATTCTCCGTAGCCACTATGGTGCAAAGAATACATCAGAACTCTATCAAACACTGGCATCCCTATGTCAGAGCCCAAAGGAGTCACCCCAGGCATTTTTGATGAATGCTCTTGATCTGAGGCAACAAATCCTGTTTGCATGTGGTGAAGAAGAAGGTGAAATATCCCTACAGTATGACTCCGGACACATACAACGTCTGTTTCTTCGGTCAGTAGAAACTGGTTTACAGGATGAAAGTATTCGTGCTAAGATTCGCCCATTCCTGAAGGACTCAAATGTGACAGATGAAGTGTTGATGCAACAGATGAGCATGGCTACGTCAGCAGAAAAGGAAAGGGACAAGAAGCTTAAGAATAATACCAAGACCAAACAACCACCATTATCAGTGTCTGCGGTATCTGATGGCCCACCTAAAGAAAAAGGAAGGAGGCAAGAAGAACAGCCCTCAGAATGATCTTCTAACAGCTATAAGTGCAATCAAGTCAGAAGTCGAGGCATTGAAAAGCGAGGTCAGGAAGAACAGCAATCAAAGTGTACCCCCAGGCAAGTGGCCAGAGAGAAGAAGACCACCCTTGTGTTCAAGCTGCCTCGAGAACAGAAAGGAATATTGCAATCACTGTTTTAAGTGTGGGAGCGAATCTCATCTGGCAAGGGGATGCAGGAAGCAGTTAAACAGGAATCGACTGCTCCCTTGAGACAGGAAGCAGTCGTAAAACCCACCAAAGTCTCACCAATGTAGCCACTGTTGTAAAACCGAGTAGAGCATGGACAACTTAAAAGATGTAGTCAGTGTCAGAGTGTATGGTATTGCACCACGCGATGTCAAAGGGACACTGGGCTGAACACAAGGTGTTGTGCCAAGCAATAAGTCATCTTTCTGAGGCGAGTACAAGTAAGTCAAAAGAGTTTGTAGACCCAGCCTGTGTCAGTCATTTAACTCCAAGTGAGCATGCTAAAGTTATTGGCCTTGTTGGCAAGAAGTGTATGGTGAAGTGCTTGCTCAATGACTATGAATGTGAAATGTTATGGGACACTGGTGCCCAGGTTTCAATAATATCAGTCGACTCTGTCCAAAGATGCTTAGGACAAGTAGCCATTAGACAGTTGTCAGAACTCTTGGAGACAAGCCTTAGCCTAACAGCAGTGAATGGGTCTCAAATACCCTACATTGGGTGGGTGGAAGCCAGAGTTATGCTAACTCCTCCTGGTAGTGATAGCAATCAAGAGGAACTGTTAGTGCCTTTTCTAGTGACATCAGAAAAGTTGGACTGTCCCATTTTGGGATACAATGTCATTGAAGAGTTAGTAAGTCAGGACCAGAATCCAAACCCAACAATTTACAAGAGTTTCCCTGGAACAGATAAGACAAAAGTAGATGCCTTGGTAAATTTCATTCAGAGTTCAAGTTCAGATGCCATTTGTAAAGTGAGGACGGGAAGGAGAGATGTGGTGATACCAAGGGATAGCATGATAACTGTTGGCTGCCGTGCAACTACAGGACCAGTAAACAAGCTAACACCAGTACTGTTTGAGCCAAATGAATTGGCACAGTTACCAGAGGGTTTAGAAGTTAATGGAACTTTGTTAAATGTCAAACCAGGAAAGTCATCTAAGGTACAGATTGCTGTACACAATGGGACAGACCATGATATTCTGCTTAAGAGTCGCACCCGTTAGGAGTCCTTCAGGCAGTCAAATCAGTGACAACAGCAGATGTTAGACTGAGTGAATGTAGAACCCAGAATGACCAGCAATATTTTGAGAAACCTAAACCTCAGGGACCCACCACCCCTGCTGAGCAGCAAAACAAAGAAAATGAAAACCCACTTCCGGCAGTTGATCTCGGTGATTTGGATCATGACCAGCGGACTGCAGCTGAAATGATGCTGAGGGAAGAGTACGAGTCATTCTCATCCAATGAAGAAGATATTGGCTGCATCCCTGATCTGGAAATGGAGATTAATCTGCATAATAACCAGCCAGTGCAAAAAAGAAGTACACGTCAATTCCTCGACCACTGTATCCGGAGGTGAAACAGTACATTGAAGACCTTCTGAACCAGAATTTCATCACTGAATCCAAGTCCCCATACTCCTCTCCAGTTGTCTGTGTTCGCAAGAAGGATGGGTCTCTAAGGCTATGCATTGACTATCGAGAACTAAATCGCAAGACTATTGCTGACAGACATCCCATTCCTAGAGTCCAAGAGACCTTGGATAGTCTTGGCGGAAATAAGTGGTTCAGTGTACTTGACCAGGGTAAGGCGTATCATCAGGGGTTCGTAAACAGGGACAGTAGAGCAGCGACAGCATTCATTACACCGTGGGGGCTATATGAATGGGTAAGGATCCCATTTGGATTGATGAACGCACCTGCGAATTTCCAACGGTTTATGGAACGTTGTTTGGGTGAACTAAGGGACAAAGTGGCTATACCGCACCTCGATGACATCATAGTATTTAGTAGGACATTTGCAGAACACATCGAGCATCTGAGAACAGTATTGCGAAAGTTACGAGCACATGGAGTCAAGTTGAAGCCGCGCAAGTGTAGTTTGTTCAAACGCGAGGTCAAGTTTTTAGGAAGAGTTGTGTCAGGTGATGGTTACCAGATGGATCCAGGGTGTGTACAAGCTATCGAGAAGTTAAAGGAAGTAACACCCAAAACTGTTGGTGAAGTAAGACAGCTTGCAGGAATACTAAGTTACTACCGAAGGTACATTAAAAACTTTGCTAAAATTGCGAAACCGATCTATGACTTGCTTACCAGCACAGGACAGGATGGACAACAGCCCTCAAAGACGCCAATCGTTTGGGGAAGAGAACAGCAACTAGCCCTCGAGAAGTTAGTGGGACACCTCAGTAATCCACCCATTATGGCTTATCCAGATTTCTCAAAAGCATTTACTCTCCACACCGACGCAAGTAAAGACGGTCTCGGGGCAGTGTTGTACCAAAACCAGGATGGGGTCATGCGAGTTATTGCTTATGCTTCACGAGCGCTGTCACCAGCTGAGAAAAAGTACCACCTTCACGCAGGAAAACTTGAGTTTCTTGCTCTAAAATGGGCAGTGACTGAACACTTCCGTGACTACCTTTACTACTCGCCAAAGTTTACTGTTTTCACTGATAACAACCCCTTGACATACATCCTAACATCAGCGAAACTGAACGCCACTGGTTTACGGTGGGTTAATGAATTAGCCGACTTCCATTTTGAGATCAGGTATCGACCAGGAAAAGCCAACGCAGATGCTGACACCTTGTCTCGTATGCCAATCAGTTTTGAGGGCTATATGAAAAGTTGTTCGGAAGTAGTTAATCAGGATGTTCTGGATGCTGTCACATCTTCAGTCCATGTAACTAACACCCCCCAGACCGCCTGGTTGTCATCTCTCACCGCAGTACACGACATGTTAAAGGAAGAGCGTGTAGACATTCCAACTCTGCCACGTGATGAACTTGTCGCAGCTCAGCAAGAAGATCCATCAATTGCTCGTGTTTTACAGTTTATCCAAATTGGAAGGCGTCCCACCTATCAGGAAAGGCAGCAAGAGACAGCTATTGCCCGACAACTCTTACACGAATGGAATAAACTGTTTATTGCTGAAGATGGAATCCTTTATCGGAAAACTGGGTGTGGAGACAAAATGGTTTTACCCAAGAAATACCACAAAAGGGTGTATGAAGAGCTACACGAAAACATGGGGCACTTGGGTGCCGACAGAGTAGTGGAACTAGCTAGAGAACGCTTCTATTGGCCGTTTATGAGAGCAGACATCACCCATTATGTCACAAAAGTGTGTCGTTGCCTGAAGCAACGTAAACCCGCAACTCATGTCCACGCACCACTTCAGCCTATCCTCTCCACAGCACCTTTCCAACTCGTCTCCATGGACTATGTTCATCTCGAACCAAGCTCGGGTGGATACCAGTACATATTGGTAATCATGGATCACTACACCAGATTTGCCCAAGCATACGCCACCCGGGATAAGTCTGCGAAGACCGCTGCCAACAAACTGTATAATGACTTTATCATGAGATTTGGGTTTCCAGGAACCATTCATCATGACCAGGGCGGAGAGTTCGAAAACAAACTCTTCTACAACCTTGAGAAACTGAGTGGGATCAAACATTCGCGGACAACCCCCTACCATCCACAGGGGAATGGGCAGGTTGAAAGGTTCAACCGAACACTTCTATCAATGCTGAGAGCCCTGCCAGAGAAACAGAAATCCCGTTGGCGTGACCATCTCAATAAAGTAGTCCATGCATACAATTGCACTCGCCACGACTCTACTGGATTCTCACCTTTCTATCTACTATTCGGTAGGACGCCAAGGCTACCCATCGACCTAATGTTTGGCTTGAAACCTCCAGAGGGATATTCTACATACCCTGAGTATGTTAAAAATTGGCGAAGAGCCATGAAAGAAGCTTACGAACTAGCCTCCGCTCATGCAAAGAACAGTGCAGACATGGGGAAACAACAGTATGACAAGAAAGTTAGACATACCACGCTACGTGAAGGAGACCGTGTTCTTGTGCGAAACATGACGGAGCGTGGTGGCCCAGGAAAGTTACGCTCTTATTGGGAGCAAGAAATCCACGTTGTTACTCAAAAGAGGGAGGATATGCCAGTTTACGAGGTAAAACCAGAGACTGGTAATGGAAGGACAAGAGTTCTGCATCGCAACCTGCTGCTACCATGTTCCTTTCTACCTGTTGAGATACCATCTAAGCCATCCAAGGGTCGTCGCACGATGCCCAGGACAACCCGAAGACAGCAGGAGCTACAAGAGAACACAACCAGAACCACTGATGAGAACATCCCTGGGTTAACACCTGGTCAACTTCAAGAATTTTACGAGTCTACGAGGAATCATACTGAAGACAATTGCCAAATTGTTCCAGAGTTAGATGAACACGACACTTACCCTTGTCAAGTTGATGGTCCAGGCTCAGAGGGAGAGGCTGAAGACACAGAGCAACCAAGTGGTGCGTTCGATGATGAAGCTGTAGATGGTGTACCTCTAAGACAGTCACAGCGCGTAAGCAGACCACCCCTCAGGATGACCTATGATGCAATGGGACAACCCTCCTTTCAACCCAGTTCCACAACAGGAATTCGCGGCATCACAGCATCATATCCACACCAGTTATGGCAGCCTGTCCCGGTATCATGGATGGTGCAACAACCTGTCTTTCAGCCCTTCAGTTATTTTGTACCTTTCCCAGTACACGTTCAGCCGATGTATCCTGTGCCTGCGTGGCGTTACCAGCAAGCCTGGTGGCATTAACTTGAAGAGAAAGGAACTGATTTGGACCAATTGAAATTACGTTCGTTTTAGATAAGACGGATAAATGTTTAGTATAGTATAACTCACATGTCGTTCGTTTTAAGAGGTACAACCTTGTTTTATTAGGAGATTTTTTTTTCTCGATCTCTACATGTTCTTTGTACGGGCAAACAATCGATATAGGCGCGTTATCGAACAGTACAGTGCAGTAAAGATAACACAGTAACATTTGGGCAACTTAAGCGAACATTCTGGCCTGATCAACCAGGATAACTTTGTTGACCCAATAATGAGATACAAGAATACGAGGAACTGTTACACGAGATAACCCACAAGAGACTATGGTCTATCCGTTCATGTTGAGGACAACATCTTTTTCCAGAGGGGGAGAATGTAGAGAACTGGAACTAGTTAGAATAATATCGAAAAGGACTGGCTCTAGCCAAGATGATGTAATCGCAAGATGGCGGAAAACGCCACCGACACGTATTAAAAGAGTTAGAAGTTTGGAGTAATTTGTGGTTGATTTAGGCGTGTAGTCTAACAGTATCACAAGGAGAAATTTGATGCTGGTCACTCTAAGGGCTTTAAAAAGGGCTAACTCTTTGCTAAAGTCATCACTTAGTTCCTTTACTCACACATACAATACTCTTGTAGAGTTTTGGAAAAGATATCAAACAAATTTGATCAGAGAGTACTAACCATAATAAATATTTTGGTGATTTTTGTAGGCGTAGCTTTAAAACTTGAAAAAGTTTGCTCAACTTTTTCAAGTTTCAATCCAAACCCATCCTGGTCATTCGTAACAACAGAGGACAGGAAACAGTTTTAATGTCTAAATATAGTATGAAGTAACGAAACTGGGCCATTATTTTTGGAATTCAACTGATACGAAGAAACGTTTAAGACGGACTCCATTAGGAAATTGAGTATGTCAATTTTCAGTGGACGAAAACCTTCTACCAGAATAATTTACATAATATCGCATTCTTTTTTACATTTTTCAAGGGCTAAAGATATATATAATTAGTTATCTGTAATAACACCAAAGAAAATTTCTGATAGGAGCCCGAGAGAATGAAAGTCAAATTTCACAAAATTACATCTTACACATGAAATTTTCAGAATTTAACTGTGTCATCACAATTCTTGTGAAATATGACATTCATTTTTTCGGACTCCCAACGAGAAATGTTTTATTAAAGATGACTAATTACATCTTTAGCTCTTGAGAAAATAAAAAAGAATGCATTATGCTTTAAATTATTCTGGTACAAGATTTTTGTCCACTGAAAATTAAAATTACTCTATTTCCTGATGGATTCCGTATTAACCCTTTCACTGCCAGAGTGTCTGATAAAGTTTTGTAAGATGACTCTAACTTTTGAGTCTGTGGACGAAATCTTATGATGTGACCATTCAAATGAAAGCTCTCTGCCTGTACTTACACATGGTGCTATTTGTTTCTCAAAATTTTAGAAAATGAAATTTGGAAATTTGGTCGAAATTTGCCTTTGGCCAAATTTGGCAGTAAAAGGGTTGAGCTTTTTGAAATGATAGCAAATAGCGTGACGTAGCCCCCTTAACCCCTGTATTTCTCAAGAGTGACTAACATCAATTTTCTCCTAACAGTGTCAATACGTAATCAAAGGATTAGGTTATGAGAATTAATAAAATGATCACCTCAAGGAAAATGCTTTGATCTTTAAAACGTTCTCTCAACTTTAAGGAAATGTATGAAGATCAGTCTGGAGAATTTGTTTATAGGAATTGGGGCTTCACCCCTCATTCACACCCAAGCTTAAACATGTTTGAAAGCTGTTTAGCTGAACACAGTTTTTTTCTTGAAGGTGCTAACTGTTCTCTTATTTGAATTGAAATATATGAAATGAATCATGGTTTGAACTGCGGATAAAGATATGAAAGTGAACATGATCTTCACAGAAGAATGAACAACCTGAGCGGTTGAAAAAGAACCTGAAAAAATTAAGGCTTGATCGGGTATCAACGCTCTATCCACTGAGCTAATCAGGCCAGCTGGAGAGCAGGCCATTGTGAGTTCGTAACATACCCGATGGTGGAAATTACATGAATTGAAATATATGAAATGAATTATATTTTGTACTGAAAAGGTTAGTGCAATTATGGGATCATTTTATGTTTCTGTGAAACTGGCCACCTACCCCTCCCCTAAACCAACATTAACACTTAGTTCTTACTTAGGGCAAGATATTGGTCAAGGGGAGGGGTAGGTGGGCAGTTTCCGAGAAACGTAAAATGATCACAATTATGTGACATGTTAAGGTTTATTTATAAAAGCCCCTGTCACTAGCACACAGAAGTTAATTTCTTGGACACTTTTCGGTCTGCAGGTATCGTCGCAGAGCTCGCTCATGTATCGGATCCTTTGCTGGCGCGTATCCTGTCCTGGTTCCTCCAGTCGAAGATGCAAGTCGCTCTCACGAGCACCACCGAACAACAGCGGAAAGTTTATGATGCCGGATGCCCAGCTTACTGTGAGGCCACTCTGTTACCTTTTTCTAAAAGAGACTTTGACGGCAGCGACGGTAAGTCTTTGCCTCTAGAACTGCCTTCTCCTCCGTCCAACTACCGCAGTCCAATCGAATTCGCGGTGAATCTCCTGGAATTCACTAGCGACAATGGCTACCTTCGCTGTAGCCTGTTCTGGAACCTGCTGTCGAAAACAATAGTGGTTAACGACCTGAAATCAGGGCAAACATATCGCGAGCATCTTACAAAAATGAAGCAGTCTTGCCCCACAATCCTCACTCGTGATGGGAAGATGATTGCATCCGACGGGCTTATGGATCCAAAGCGAAAGTGCCCCGATAGGTTGGAAGATTTGAAGTTCGCATTCGGTGCACTACCTCCTCGAGAAACCCCGCAGTATCGGCAGTTAATAGAGAAGTGTGAATCTCTTGGGCGCTTGCAGAAGGTTTGCGAGAACCATGAGACGGAGATGGTTCAAGGCCGCGCACGTGAGGAGCGGCTGAACGAGTTAAGGAAGAGCTTGTCTCCTCGCATTAACGAACTGGAGAAGGAGCTGCGAAAGTTAAGGCCCGGGTTGGAAAGGGACAGTAGTGAACCACCCGACAAAAGGAGGAAAAGATAACTACACTTATCCTTCTTACTTAACCCTTTAAGTCCCAATAGTGACCAACAGCAATTTTCTCTAACAATGTCCATACATTGTCAAGAGGTAAGGTTGTGAGAATATAAAAAAATGACCACGAAAGAGAAAGTGCCTTGATATTTTATTAAATCTCTCAACTAATTCTTAAAGGAAATGTATGGAGATCAGTTTGGAGAATTTGTATGTGGATACTGGGGCTTAAAGGGTTAACGTTACATTTGACTTCTTTTTCCCTTCACCATGTGCGTTTTCGTCCCCATTACAGCTTTGAAGGGATGACAGGGGGTAGGGTGTGTAATCCTTAAGTAATTGACTACAATAGCAAAGTACAGTTGAACCCCCCCCCCAAAAAAAAAAACACACACACACACACACTCTAAGCTGCCACCCTTGGGCTACCTGGAAGTAACCGCTTAATGAAAGTTGGCCGCACAATGGAAATTCGTCTGAAATTAGCACAATTTTTTTGAAACGCCTTTTTTTATTTTGAAACAAGCACGCGACGGGAGCAGCATCGCTGGTCCACAATCAGTCTTCTTCACCTTTCATCTCGGACAGTATTCTCCTTAATCATATTTTTAGAACAAAGCCCAACTATTGCGTGTCAAACGCCTGGTGGCCGCTTAATAGAGGTGACAACAACAGAAGAACTCTCGTGGGAATGGCCAAAAGGTGGCCATTTAACAGTGGTTTTATTTGCAGTTGTTTTCTGCAATTATTTCCTGACAGATTACTGGTTGCTTAAAAGAGGGTGGCCGCTTAATGGAGGTTCAACTGTATGCTTTGGGCAAGAGCCTTTTTAGAAGTTAAAAAGTTGTCGTTATTCTTATTCTTCTTATTCTTGTTATTATGATTATTATGATTATGATTATAATTATGATTATGATTATTTAACCCCACCCCTTCTTCTAAATCCATCCACGGGATAGCCGAAGATAACGCTGAGGATTTGCCTCTCTTCCCTCTGCACTCCCTGTCCTCCCCTCCCTCCCTCTGCCGCTCCCCTGTGGTGAAAGGCTTCACAGGGGTGTAAAGTAGGTTGATTTTGTTTGTAGTTTAATTAAGACATCGATGTTTTATCACTTTCAAAACTTTTTTTGAAACAAGCGCCTTTTTTACTTTTTCCATTGATTTAGCATGTACTGATGCGTGATACTTGACGCGTTCGTTGAATTCCAAAGGTCTTAAGACTTTTCCGAATTCACGGGCAGAAAATGCAAGATTTTACTCGTTCTTTTGATTATTTAATCTTTTTAAATTGGTGTTTGATGCATGTCCTTGAGCGACCATTAGTTCTTGAGGAAATTTGATGCAAAATTTGTTACATTCTGTATTAATAAGTATCCGTTTTTCAAACCTCGGGGGACTCCCTTTATAAAACTGGCGGGGATTGCTTGTCGGGAAACTTCGGTGAACCCCTAAAAGTACCAAAATCTCTATTTGTGAGTGTGGATCAAATTCGTTTTCAGTTGTAGGTGATAACAAGTCAACTGGTTCGGACTACTCTAAAATAATAACGATAAAAACATGCGTGTTATTTCCCTTTTTATGCTATCCCCGAGGAAAAGGAGACCGCTCGCAGTCTATCGTTCACTTAAATCCTAAGCAGCGCTTACCCACAGCAGTAACCCATAAAAATGTACGAGAGGTACCCCTCCCTTGAAAGGGAGTGCTCTTTTTCCCCGGGGTTTCATACGTCCTCCATACAATAAATTTCCTTGCGTGAATTATTAATAGTTTTGAGACTTATTTATTAAAAACGTTAGAACATTGTTAAACATTGTTAGAGTTTAGCTATACCAAAAAGAAAAGCTGTTTATACTCATAGAATTGAGGTATTTTATAAATTAGTGATAAAAATAATACTTGGATGCCGGACAATATTTTAGCTAATTATTAACTTATTGATAGGAAATATTATCTTAACTTTTGGCATCGACTTTTTCCAGACAAGTTCCTAGTTACGAAGGTGTAATTTAAATTTTTTTGAAAATATCTCAGAATTGCAATGCTGTAAGCGGTGCCATGTTGTATGGATTCTAAACGCTTGGACGAAATTAGTAGCATTACATACATGTCTGCTTTCCGGTGGTGTCGTTATTTGTTCTTAAAAATAATGGAATCGCGCATTTTTACTGCGCATATTTGTCTCATCGATAGCACGCTTACCCAAGTGCGGGGCGGGGGGGGGGAGGGGGGGGGGTGAGGAGGGAGTACTAACGAAAGTTTTATGCGGGGCCTTTCACATACCTAGTTTAGACCATTGCGACCCTTTTAACTGCTGCAATACGCTGTTTTTGAAATACACCCAAATCACAAAATTAGAAGGTTTTCTGGACTTTTTTACGGCAAAAAAAGCATCTGTTAGCCCTTTTGGGTCTTTTTACAGACTGTAATGATAGATTTTCCTACCCTTTCATATAATTCAACTAGCGAAATCACTACCCTTTCATGTACCTGAAGCCTGCAAGTTAACAGTTACCCCTTGCGGGCGGAGCCACCCCGTATAGGCTACTACAGGGAGTACCCCATCCCCTCCCCCCATCCCTAGGCTCGCGTACAGAGCGTTTGCAGCTTTGCGTTTTGGCTGGGCTTGGGGAAGGAATGTTTGGTCTACTTTCCCAAAAAAAGCTCGGCATGGTAAGCCCAATCAGTGGCAGGCACTTCGAGTAAGTGTTCCGTAAAGTCTACATACTTGGAAATATCTTAGAAGAAACTTTGTCTTTTTGTAAATGGCATTTACTTAAACCTTTTTAACGATTGTACGTACAAAAATGAGGCGAGGCCACTTGCAATGCGAATCCTGTCTCATTATTTATTTACAAGGAATTACTATAGATTTTAATGGAACATTGTTATTGCCTTGACAATTCTGTAATTCCTTTCAGTTTGTTTAAAAGAATAGACCTATTCGGCTACAACTCAATGTTGTACCCAACTCAAACCCTTGGGAATAAAATGCTTTGTTTCAGGAATTTCCATATTATGTGAATGCCACATTATAATGCAAATACAATACACAAAGAATCTTAACACCGGGAGATTTTAATTGGGTACAACAAATACTCAGTCGAATAAGTTTATCAAGCCCCCAGTGCTTAATAGATTCTTATGAGTGTAAATAACTCCTGAGGGTGGCGGGCGGGGGTGGGGGGGAGGTTTGCGAAATGCTGGTCATAACGGCTCTAAAGGATACCAACCTGGGCGTGGCTCAAACTTTGGCTAACCCTCCCCTTCCCAAAGATACCATTCTAAAAAAGATGCGCCAGTGACCATGTGTTTCTGTCTTACTTGCTTGCTAGCTTCCTTATCTAACTTTCGCTTTCTTTGTTTCTTCACGCAAAGCCATGAGCAACAGGCCATTTTCGAGTTGTCCCCAGCCTCTGTTTCAAAGCGAGACAGAAGCTGTTGATTTGAAATTGATCCTTTTATCGTGCAAATACAATAGGTTTTAGGAGTTCCCCCGGGCCTCTGTATCAAAGCGAGGTGAAGTGCTCAGCCTTCGATATGGAAATGATTTTTCATTCTCATGCAAATAAAACTCATTTTCACAAGAAAGGTTGTGCACGTGGCCTCTTTTTGAAAGTGAGGGTTTTTGGAACTCGGAAGTGGCCTATTCATTTTGACAGGAAAGGTTTTGCACCAGATATAAGCCTCGTTGTTTTGAAAGTTAGAGTTTTTTGGAACTCGGAAATGGCCAAAAGGCCTTTTGCCCCCAAAGACGCCTGATACTCAGACTATAATAAACCTTTTCTTTTTGACGGTGGAAAAACCTTCAGTTGACAGCATGTCAATCTTTTCAGCGCTACAGCAGTACAAAAGAATGAATTGTAGGCCGCAATTTAGAACTATTTTGTCAACAAACGAGTTATGCAGGGAACGGTTTATGATAGATGAGCGACTTTTGAGTGTTTTCATGGACATGGTCCACGGAATGACCTGCCTTGTAACGGTTGGAGACCAGATGTTCCCCGACCTAACCACTGAAACCAAATGGAGCGTTTTATCAATCGAACGATAAGGTTCGCTACTCGAACACAATCTAACTCTCGCAAAAAATTTAGTAACTGAACCCAATCAAACTTTGATTGAGTTCGATTAGGTTCGACATGGATAAAATTCCGCGTGTTTTGCTGAATGTTTTCTTTTTCTACGGTGTCTTACGACTGAGTATATCCCCGGAGTGATAAACCTCGTCACGGTTTTCGACGCCATCTTGACGAGTAGGCAAACGTGTGAGAAATTAAAGTGTTTGTATGAGAATCTAATGTCGAATAATTTCCGTAAAACGGCTGTTCTCAAAAAAACGTCAATTGTAGACTAAAGCTACAAAGCAAAGGATTTAGATTTCTCCAGAGGCTTGCTTTAGATTTTCCATATATTTGTCTGTAATTTTCCCGGGACTTTCTTACAGACAAATGTATCGACAATTTAAAAAAGTGGTTCTAGGTCTTCTCGTGCATGCAACGCACTCAATTTTTTTCAGTAGAATTCTTAGGAGAGAAGCTTTAGTTTACAAATCATATTTTTGTCAGAACAGCCGTTCTACGGAAATCATTCGACATTAAATTCTCATACAAACACTGTAATTTTTCACACGTTTGCCTACTCGTCAAGATGGCGTCGAAAATCTTGACAAGGTCTATTGTAGCGAATCTCTTAGCCTGCGCGCAGACGAAATTAAACTCTGGTTAACTAATCAGAGTTTAGTTATCGTCTGCACGCAGGCTACGAATCTCTGAGTGTAGTGTATTTTTACGTTATCTGAAAGCAGGACCCGATTGCTGAAAAAAGTTGGGAGATGTTTTTAATACTTGACGATGATGTCCTTTTATTTCTTTAGTATGAAACGGTGTATTTTTTACTTGGACAATACGACCCGACCCGCTTGATACCTGTGATACGGATAGCACTTTCTATGCCTCCCTCAGTGACTGAGAGAACAAAGAAAAAAACTAGCTAGGGAGGAGTAAGTCATGTGGTTGGTTAACACACTGCGCCGGCGTCCTTTCACACCTGCACCAACCAATCATTGCGTTCTGATTTGATCACATGCTACTTGCTATATAAAGAGCAAAATCATTGCTTTGCACACGAGGTACGAAAGATGGCGGAGGTCGGGGCAGTTACGTTGTGCAGGTAAGTGGTATTTTTCTCCTTATTATTGGTTTTCTGGGATTCCCACGGTCACCTCGAGGGAACTTTACTTTAGATCCTGAAAGCAAGCAGAATGCAGTCTTTTCGTTTGAGTCAAAGTGCCGCTTTTTTCAAAAGAAGATCTTGAGGGATTCGTCCATGTTCTACCACGTGCTTTGATGAGCGAGGTGTTTCAAAGCGTTTGCAACTGCTTCTTGTCTTCAAGCAAAGTTTAAAATGAATTTTAAGGAACTGGGATAATTTTACTACACGAAGTAAAGTTGATCTGTGTAGTTTCCTGGTTTCTTTCGATACCCTAAGCTTTTCTTTTTTTCCAGAAAGGACATAAGTCGTGCAAAGGTATTAACAAATTTTCTATAGGCGTAAGCTTACTACTGCATGCATTCTTAGTATGAATTTAATTTGATTTTTATTTATTTACGTCTTGCGTGATGGCATCCCCTTTACAGAACAATTAATTTTTGAAAAAAAGTTGAACTTACGTACCGCAGTCATAGAAAATATATACAGAAAATATGTTTAGGGCAAAAGGAGTTGTCCTTTGTTTCTAAATCTAAATGTTTAGGGATTCAAATCGATAATAAACTCTCCTGGTCGCCACATATCAAATCCTTGAGCAAACGTTTTTCAGCAAGAGTGAAGAAACTGAAACACTTAAAAGGTCTCGACAGTCGCATCTTAGAGTCAATTTATTTCAAAGGTATCATTCCAAGTATTACGTATTCAATTGCATTATGGGGATCTTCAAAATCTCTTCAGACCCTGGAGGACATTCACATCGGAGCAGCGAGATTTATTTATAACATAAAGAATTCTACTCTTAGCACTGAGGTCCTGGCAGCGACAAAATGGAAGTCTTTATCATACATGTACAAAAAGAGGATTGCAACCATATCTTATCAAGCATTTTATAACAGGGCTCCGGCTGGTATAAATTCTTTATTTATTAAACATTCTCCATTAAGAAATCTCAGGGACAGTCTGAAACTATACGTGCGTTGCCCTAAAAGTGACTTCCTTCGATCTTCCTTCTCTCATCGTGCGTCTATTCTATGGAATAACTTACCCATGTACTTAAAGAGCAAACCCAATATTGGTTCTTTTAAATCTGCTCTTAAAGAAAAATCTGACATTTTAGATAAAATAACATTTAATGGGTTACAGGGAATAAATAAAGATATTGTAAATTATATATATTAAGGCAACAGTCAACTGTTGTTTATCTTGCTAGGTATTGTTTTATTTTTCCTTACTCATTGTAAATAATTCATTGGTTTGTTAATATTATTAGTTACTTTTTTTTGTAGATACTTTTTAGTTTGTAGGTCCACATCAGCTCTTTAGCTGCCTCTTTTTTCACTGACCTACATGACAAATAAAGTATGTATGTATGTATGTATGTAGTTGGTAATTCAAATGCAGTACTAACTGTGTCCGCCTTGGTCTAAACCAGCAGAAGTTCCATACAGTTTCATTTTAATGCTGAAAGTATGAAGTCCAAAAGATGTTTTGCAGCCTTCCCTGTAGCCTGTGTAGTAGGGATCAAAAGGGGAAGGGGTTTGGGAGAAAAGGGAGGAAGATTGGGGATACCCTTTCACATTTTTCTCCCTCTCCCTCTCCCCCTCCCCACTTTTTTTAGCCTGCCACACAGGCTACTTTCTTGAAATTCCCTACAAGTAATTTTTATTTCCCAGTCTGTACTGGCCAGCTGGTGATGACACAAGATGACGAGCCTGATTCATCTTTGAAGCACCACATTTTGTGTAGCTTCTTTGAAATTGTGATGCCAAATCGAGGCATTTGTCTGAGGCTGGCCCTCCAAGCATGTTGATATTAATTTGTAAAAAGAAAGATACCTGCTACATTTCCCCTGCACAGTCAAGTGACTTGGTCCAAACTTTAAGCTTCATCTATTCCAGAAAATGTGAGACAAGAAAATTTAATTATTTTAAGTGCTGGTTGGCTGTATGATTTTGCCATCAGACTATGGAACTAGGAACACTCAAAATTCCTGGACCTAAAAGGGGTAACATTTTTTGCAAGAATATACCCAGCAGAAATGTGGAGCTCAAAGACCATTATTTTTTTGTATTTTAGCTGTGGAACCCTTTGATAGCTCAAACCTTTTGTCAGGGCAATGGTTACTCCTCAACAAGTAGATAAGATCCATCGAGCAATACGTTTTGCTTGTTCTTGCTATCCTTCCATTCAGTTTTAGTTGGAACTTCTACGTATTTCACCTTGGCATAGCCATGAACACCATTTTTTTAGTTCACTTGTAAATCAACAGCTAGGCCGCTGAGCGTGCGTGTGGAAACGAGGTTGATTGATGGTCCATTGCCCATGTAACCTCACTTCCAAGTCAATATACCATTGAATCAATGGTATATTTGCTTGCACCTTCCAAATTTGGTCAACTCCCGTTGGTAATGAAGAATTAGCCAGGGCCTTTTAACCACTCAGAAACAGTGAAATATTTTGAATAAGCAATAAAGCACATTAACTGCTGAACCATCCTCGTGGTTAATTTTGTGGTCAACATTTTTTCTTGTACAGAATTATCCTCAAATTGTGGCTGCCAGTGCACTCAACCTTGGTAAGAGAGCCATGTTGTAAGAGTTACCAGCAAATCCTTTTCCAAAATTAAACTACAATGGAACCTTGATATTATGAACCTCTGTGTGCTGAGTCCTCAGTATAACAAACGATTTTTGCTACCCCAGTAATAGTAAAATGTATGGAAAAGAACCTCAACGAAACCTCATTAAAGTAAACACATTTTTGCCAGTCCCTTGGCCCTTCGTTTTATCGAGGTTCCACTGTAATATATTCTGTATGATCAGAATAAATAAAACTATTTACAGACCATACAACTAGTGAGTGGTAGAATGATGAAACCTATAGACTAGAGTCTCTGAATGACGGGTTCTTGAAGAGAGTTTCAAATTACTGAACTACCACATACAAAGAAACTTTATTGAAAGAATACTTGGAAAAACCTTAATATAGTTGTCTTTTGTTATGTCTTTGTTCTTTTTCAGGTTTGGTTTTTTGGTTCCATCTCTTCCAGAATGGTAAGTTGATATTCTCATAAATCTTCGCTTTTTGGATGAAATCTGACTAGTAATGTGGTATTTTTGCCAACAACAAAATGATGATAACAGATTTATGAAATGACTAATGCTGAAATGCTGGTATGGCTGATATTGGTATTGTTGTTAGTGATATATATTTGGGTCTTCTGTGCTCAAGCAGTGCCTTGTGGCCCTTCAGGCACCTTACTCTTGCTCTTTGGTGACTAGAAAATCTTAGTTTTTTCATGGAGGTCATGTCCAGGGCACCCTGGATTTCACAGGTTTAGAGCACAGGGGTTTCATTGAGTTTTCTTAGAGCTCAGCCTTGGTCTTGACTAGGATGTAGACCTTCAAAATTCTTTTCTTCATCCTTGTTACATAATTGTTTAAATAAAACAACAAAGAAAAGTAACGGAAAATTATGAAGCACTATGTTATTGACAAATGGTTAGATTTTAGATCAGCACTGCTGTTACCCCCTGTTTTAAAATACCCTTCACATGTCCACTTTGTTTTCAACCCTTACTAGCAAGTCAGTTGAATGCATTTTTTTTGAACCTATAGTTTAGTTTCTTTAATAACTCACTGTAATGAAGTATGAAATTAACTAAGTCAACAATGCAAACCAAAGGTCAAGTCATAAGTGATGAAGAGTGACAAAAACTTTTCTGACAGTGAGTGTAACAAGTTGCACTTTGAACACATTCCTCAATTTCTGACATGACTTGCCAGCTACAAGTCAAGACAAATCTTTCTATTTTGTGGAGGCAATTTTCTAAGTTATTATTTCACTGTTTCAGGAGGTTTTATCTCTCCAAGATGGTTTCCACCAAGCTTTCAGGGGATGATGGTAAATAAGAACATAATATTATTTTCTTCCCAGCAGTTGAGTTATGAAGTTCCAAATTTTTTGTAATTCTTTTACCCTTATTGTGTTGGTCCTGAGGAGGATGCAACCTAACCTAGTAGTAAGAAACTTGATTATGGCAGTCTGGGTCAGGTTCCAAAATTTGGAAATACAGAAGCATGTCATAGGCCGTAGACTTGCTCCCAGAGCCTGTTGTTTCTCACGGTCATGTAATCTTGAAAACAAGTGCTTTCAAAAATTTATTACACTTGTAAAAATGTGGCTCTGTCAAACAAACCTCCCTAGTAGATGCTTTGTGGTTTTTTCAAATTTTAACTGGGACTAGTAGGTGAAACTCTGTCAACATGTCTAGAAAGAATGCCTTAAAATCTGTTAAGTTTCTAATTTTGAAAGGGATTTGTGAAGATAAAGTTTGCAAAGTCATGGAATTTAACAGGTTTGTATGGTGGGGGACAAGTTTGTACCCTTCCCCCCACACCATAAAAACATCTGTATTTGGACAAATCATTTTTTAACTTGATAAGTTACCTTATTTTACGACACTCTTTCCAGCACTGTTGATGGATATTCACTTGACGGATATTAACTGCTATTATTTTATTAAAAGTTGAAAAAAAAAACATGGAAGCGTATGTGAAACTTTTACTTAAAAGCTTGCTGAATTGTACAGACTTCTCCACTTTATTGACATTTATCTGCCGCCTCACTTCCAATGTTAAACGCTCTGAAAACATGCCTACTTATGCCCAATTAATGCTAGTACTGTAGGTCTAAGCTCCTTCTGAAGAAATCTTAGTAATGAGAGTAGGTAAAGTCACCAGTGATGAAAAACTTCTGACACCTCTTGTATGAGTGTGGCATGAGTTGCACATTGAACGCATTTTTAGTATTCTGAAGTGACTTGCCAGCTACACATCAATGCAAATGTTCTGTTTCGGGGAAGCAGTGCTCTTAGTAATTTATCGTGGTATCATTTTAGGTGGTTGCACCAAGAAGTTTTCCACTGAGGTTTAACAGAACAGGAGTGAGTACAAGAGAGTTTGTTCAGAGTAGTTAAGTTTGAAATTCCATGGTTCTGCAATTCTTTCACTTCTTTAGGCAGTTTTCACTGTCAGGCCACTAAAAATAATCTAAACCATTCCATGCATAAAGACGGAATTTAAGGAATAAAAAAATATTTTAATGCAAAGAGCCTCGCTGATATTAAGGTCAGGGTGAGCTTGGCTAGTCACCAGTGATGAAAATATCTGACACCTCTTGTATGAGTGTGGCAGCAGTTGCACATTGAACGCATCCTTGATATTCTGATGTGATTTGCCAATACAAATGCCTTCATATATTGCTGTTGTAAGGAAGCAATTTCTTATGTTGCCTTTTGTTGTCTTCGTTTCAGGTTGTACTTCAAGATAGTTTCCAGGGAGATGTAATTACAATGGTTAGTTCCATTTATCAGTAGATTGTGCCTTCTTGCAATGAGTCTTTTTAAGAAAGCTTTTAATTTGTAATTTTATATTCTTATTACTATTATTGTTTCTGCCATCTGGCCTTAGAAACTGTATGAACATCGACTCTTTTGAAGTACAGTTGAAGACTTGTCTTTTTAAGAAAGCTTTTAATTTGTAATTTTATATTCTTATTACTATTATTATTTCTGTCCATTTACTGTATATATATATATATATATATATTTATTTATTTTCTTGTACATATTGTAAAGTGCTTTAGAATATTTTAATAGTTAAAGCGCTATATTAAATGTAATAAATTATTATTATTATTATTAGTTTGGAGGTGATTGAAAAGAGCAAGGAGCAGGCCACTTAAGTGTATCTATAAATATACGATGTATACATTAATTAAAACTATAAAAGAATTCTCAAATCCGATTGGCTATCAACCGTCCTGATTTCAGCACTAATAGGACAAGGTAATAAAGAGGTGACTGTTGAAAAAAGGTTTCAGCAAGAGTCAATGTGTGGATTATTTGTCTGTCTGAACAAATAAAGTTGGCTGTTGTAGAGAGGTTGCTATTAGTGAAGGCTCACTGTAGCACTTGATCTTAATTTGTGAATGTGGAGAGATAATGATGAGAAATTTATCAGTTATCCCTGTCATAGCTATGATGCTGAGATGACACGTCAGGCTGATTCTCTCCAGTAAGACCAAACTTAAATTGTGACTTAAAACTGAATTGCTTTGTCCACTGATGACTGATATAATTATTATCTCTTACAGTAACTGGTTTAAACTCCAGTGTCATCATTTCTCTGGAGATTCTCCGAAGAAGCGTAAGGTTAGTTAATTTTTTTAACTATCGTGGTACTGGCAGCTTTGTCAATATGCTAGACAATGATCAACTGATGTGGTGTGATGAGTGAAATCTTTTTTCCCCATCTTATCGACAATGACGATAAACCCTCTGTCACTATGTGACCAAGCCAAACCTCTCTGACTTCATCAGTTTGTTTTGTACTGCTAATTTGATGACTACTGTGATCTTCCTGGATAAATTTTAAATTTGTTCTTGTGTATTTCAAAGCTGTGCAGGTTCACTGTGGAAGACGCTGACTGCAGCCAGGGCTTACAGTGTAGTTTGGTAAGATTCTTGATGTAGATATAACATGGTGATTTTGCACTGTAGTTTTGACCAGGCTGTAAAATATAAAGAAAAACGGGAACTGTAAAACTGATAGGTGGGAATCAAATGTTTGTGCCATGCAAGATTTTATCTCCTTCGAGTGCATATGAGACAATTTTTTTTAATTTTTTTTCTTAGATAAGTTTCATTAACAACTCAGAAATTTTAAAATGTGTCTCCCAAAAACTTTCTTAAATTTTGGCTGTTCAGAAACTGCCTTTCGCCTTCAGAACTGTCTCTGAGACTGAGCATGTGTAAAGGATCAAAGATTTATTCATTTAATGCCAGTTGATTTGCTCAGCCTTCACTTCTGATTCTGCTGCCATTTTGTAAATTATTGTACATTCTTGCAAATCATTCTACACTGTACCTGTCAATTCGGCTGGTGGTAGGGCAGACAGTTGTGAAGGCATATTTGCTTGTTTTGAAGAGAATAAAAGTGGTTTTTAAAGATTTTTGACAAGTTCAATTTTGGATACATATTTTACACATATTTTTAAGAATTATAAACGATCCAGAAAAAATTTGTGTCATATACACTTAACACCTCACACCTCACCTATCCCACCTATCCTCTCTCTTCTATCTCAGTCAGCTGCAATGGTCTTCACATCCTCCCTCGATTGCCATCCTGCTTCTGCCCTTTCCTGTTACAATGCTGAGCCCTGAAATGTTTCCATTGGGATAAAGTTATCAACTTCTTAAAAGGTTTTGATTCACGTCTGGTCTCCTTGTCCAATCGCATTGCACAAAGACAACGGGCAGTGTCATGCAATTTGAAAGAAACAAGTGGAAGCCTTTTTTGGAAAGAAAAAAAGGAAAATTATTTGTTTTCTAACCAGTGTGATGATTATTAGCCAAATTCGCAGTTTCCACCAGAAAGATGATTGTATCTTGCTGATGGCTTAATTCCTTGGATGTCTGACTGGTTGTTGTCTTTAACTAAATAGTTTAATCTTGACTCTCTTTCTTATCCTTACAAAGGTGTGTCTTGTTTTTGCCAGGTTTATTTGACATACATTTATAGACTGGTGAAGGTATGCAGAACTCCAGTTGAGGTCAATGTAAGTAAGTCTGTTTTAAAATGTAAAGGACTGTGTAAAGGCCAGTGTGATGAATATCAGCCATATTCGCAGTTTCCACCAGAAAGATAATTGCATCTTGCTGATGGCTTAATTCCTTGGATGTCTGACTGGTTCTACTCTTAAAACAACAGCAGTTAGTAAGTTAACTGTGTTTCCTCAAAACCTCTTTGTTTCTTTTCTAGGTTTCATCTTGGCCAGTTGACAAGCAATGTTGTAGAAATAGAGAGAGCTCACCAAAGTAAGTTTATCTTTGAAATATTACAATTTACCTGCTGTGTTTGGAGTTTATTTTTTAAGCCAGAGTGATGATTATCAGCCATATTCGCAGTTTCCACCAGAAAGATAATTGCATCTTGCTGATGGCTTTATTCCTTGGATGTCTGACTGGTTGCAGAAGAATGAATTAAAGTACTTTGCATAGTTAATGTATTTATACAGGTCAAACTTATTTTTGGCAGAACCTAAGGCTTCAGCGCAACATATCAAACGTAAGTTGGTAAGTTTTGTTGATCAGTGCCACTGCTTGACACAGTCAGCTTTTTTGGATGCTTGTTTGTGTTGTTTTTTTGTTTGTTTGTTTGTTCGTTTTTTTGCGCCTGTGTGTATAGTACAGGCGTATGCCTGCCTTTTGGTGCTTTCTAGTTTACTAACTGGAAGGAGGCATAAGTCAATACTAATATGTTATTTCTCGAAAATGAAGAAGAAATCAGTCGAAAAATTACATAACAGTGCTTGTCATGTCAAAACAATTCAGTCTGCCAAAAATTAACTTAATCCTGCAAAAACTGAAAAAAGGGGCCTAAAAACTACTTGCACCCTTTTGCAGGAAGCCCCTTCAATATTTCATGTCTTCCTACACAAAGGACCATTGCCCCTTTGGAGGAAAAAAATTCTTTACATAATAATATGCATTTGTTGGTTTATTATAGGATTCCTGGAAAACTGCCCCACCACCCCTCCCTTATGGTGACATTTTCTCTTGACTGGAAAGTTTGTGTTGAAGTTAGGTTAAGGGAGGGGTGGGTTGGGAGTTTCCCCTGAATTTTATACTGACTTGGATACATTATGCCATATAATAATGCAAGAAGTAGATTATTACTTTACGTGGCTTGTGTTTGATGTTCAGCCTATTGTGTGGAGTGATGTACATCTTTTTTCCCCGTCATATCGACAATGATGATATCCGTTTGTCACTTAGTGACAAGCCAGAACTGTCTGACCACACAATGACATTGCCTGTTTCATAGTTATTTTCTAAAATGTGCAGGACCCTAGATACCGTGGGTTCCATTGGCAGTGTTTAGTGGGAAGGGGTTTCATGGCCTGTACAGACATCGCCTCCCTAAGAAAAATCGGAAAAAAATTTAAGTCTCTCCCCCCGATTTTGTATAAGTAATAAGGCATCTGTACACCAGCTAGGAATTCGTGGAAAAATCTAAAACTTGGTTTTATCAAATTTTTAGTAAATGCAGTAGTGTCAAATTAATCATTCATACCTTTTGTTATATTTGCAGGTTGAACATTGAAATGAACAAGAAGATTCGTAGGCTTTGACACAAAATAAGTTGTATTGAAATAATTAAGGATCCATTAAAACAAAAGTACTGCAGTAATTTCTGTTCTGTTTTTTTAGGGGTGGTGGGGTGTATGGAGGAAGTCCTCAGAGCAAGCCAGTGAAATTTAAGTCTGGCATATACAGTATTTTCAAGGACTCACTAGACTCGTTGATGCAGTGCTTATGAACTTGATTTTCTTAATGAATCTAGATGCATTGGCCTGTAGCCTGAGAGAACAGCGGACATTACGCTACGCCACGACTGATTCCCCCCCCCCACCCATCCCCCATTCGGGGGTAAATACACTCTTTTCTTTTTATAAGAAGGTTGCTTTTCCGGCCCAGGCTGAATATTCTAATTTTTCTGCCGATTTTAGGCTGAAAATATTCTTGTATTCTTTTAAACATTTTCGTTGTAGAATGTATTGGGGTAAAAACTGAAGTTAATGCACTTTTTTTTTTTTTTTTTTTTTGGTTTTTGGCAAGACACAAAATTATATCCTTTTCAAAATCTCGGCCTTGGGTTTATTTTTATCATATTGTTACAACAGCGCAAAGTTTCAACCTCGATTTTCTTATAGAATATCTTGTTGTTCATATAAAAAAAAGAGTGTATTGTGGCACATTTAAATTAGGCTCGATTACAAGCCGCTGTTCGAGAAATGAGCCCGCGCTGCATTCTGTTGGATTTAAACTTTTTGAGATACGTACTTCCTCGAATAATAGCTGGGGCGATTATTTCAAATATTGCTCACTGGGAGCTGTGCCCTAAACTTTTTGTTTTATTATCATATCAAATAAACTGGACATGGGCCTTTTATTAGTGTTCCAAATTTGGTTCCCTGATTGATTTTCAGAGCTTTGAATCGTCAAGGGACGGCTATTATTCGAAGAAATACGGTACTTTTACACAAATGTTGTGTCGGTTCTGTTTCCTCCGCCGCGGTGGATTATATGAGATCTAATATGTTTCACACTTCTCTCCGGTGACTAATCGGGAAACATAATTGTTTGCCGGTCGTTGATGGTTATAATATCGATAAATGAATTTAGGGTATTTCAAGTTTATCTTTTTGTGCTTTTCTCCTATCTGTTACCGAAGTCCGTTTAAACAAATAGATCCCACTTTTCTCCCAAAATTTGTTCTTAAAACATTCTTTGGGCTGTAAACGAGCTTGGCAACGTTTCCTCCTTTTTAAAGTTTGAAGGGAAGTGTCTTGTATTAATGGAGATTAACTTTAACGGTCGACAAATGAACGTGACGTGACGTGAGGGCATTAATTACACCGATACCTCCTTTTCGCATTGCGTTATATCGAGGCCATAACTCCCCAAAAGAATAATTTACAAATGTATTTTCTTGGATGCTTAAAAGGTACTCAAAAAAAAGAAAAATCTGGAAAAATTTTATTTTCAATGGTCACGTAACAATGGGCGGATCGCGTCCGTCAACTGTAAATAATTGCCATAGAGAGTGTCAAAGGGGTTAATTTTCCATAGAATCATTATGCCTCACCACGGATAGTTAACAGAATAACGTACTTAAAACTTTCCAAAATGAAAACACAGATCGACCCTTTTAAGAGCAATATTTTTATATTTGTCCTAGTATCGAAGCTAATAATCCATAGCAGATTTAAACTTTTCCTCTTCAGAATACGTGTTGTGCATGTAATGACGGCCCTTACAAAGATTAATCAATTAATTTTGTAGCCCACTTTTGTACACTTTAGCGAAGAGGGTGCGGCAGCATTACCGGAAGTAACTTTTTTCTGCGTGGGAATAAACCAAAGATTTATTGCCGCGGTTGTTGTGAAGGCGTTAATGACAGGAAACTTGGGATTATTTAAAGAAACTTTAACGCAATTTACATTTTCACCGGACATGGACCAATATTTACCCCAATAAGCAGTGGGTGTTGGTTACTGGTACAAAACTATTTAAGATTTGAAACTTACAACGGCACTTAGCATAAATACGAATGCTTACCTTCATACCGATAGCTACGATCGGTGAAAGAAGTCCAGCGATGTGATGATAGTTGCGATTATGTATGAAGACATTGAAGAATAGAAAATAGGCTACCTCGCCGTATCGCTTCGCCCAGTGTCACACTGCAAGATCATGATTTTTTTTTTTTTACAGCGACCATACGTGACTCCGTCAAGGGGATCCCATATGAGATGGACGGGGAAGGTTGTTGTCCCTCCGTTAGGGGTGTTAATTGCAGATTTTGGTTTCATTTAGGGTGAAGAGGGCGAACAGCCAATAAAGGTATAGCAAAGGGCTTTGCCTAAATATCAAACTGTGTTGGATTATGGTCTCCTCCAGTGGTCTAATTCTATTCTATTCCGACAAGCATTACCAACCCTCCGCCCTCACCAACTTACCGCGACACTAAAGGTCGTTCTGCCATATCTGTAACGGGGGCCGACATACTTCACACTAGAATCCTGATTTTTGGAACCCTCTTTTCTTTAATCTTCCGGATAATTCAATTCCAACCTGGCTTTCTTTCCTTAGTAAATCGCTGTAAATTTACTGCTACCCCAGATTTTTCTAACCTCCCGATCATGTTAAACCAATTTCTTTTTTCCCACCGCGTGGTTAGAAAAATCCGGCGGGGTTTCATCGTATTCCATGATAAGGTAACATACGGTTCAAATCCCTTATACAAAGACTTTTAGCCGCAACCAGTCTGTTTCTTGAAACAACTAATCGCACGTTTCTTCGAGTATCGTTTTCGGGTGGTCGAAGTTCCGTTATATGAGCCAACGTAAATATTGTTTAATATTGTTTTTACGGTGAAACCATCCGCCTCAGGGTGAAATAGTCTTTAGCGGCCTGTTTGAAAAATAAGTGGATCACAAGTTTTTAACACAGCAGTCTGCGGTAGAAGTTTGCAACTTGTTTATCCCTCTCAATGTTTCGCAAAACTTAATCTAAGAATCACGGAATGTCAGTGTGTTGCGGTTTTTAATTCATTCTGTTTAGGAAAATCCCAACGAAAATTGTTATTTAATGAGTTGTTCCCTTTGAACTACAGGTTGTTCGTCGCATTGCAAAAATGAAGGCCGGCATATTTTTCTGAACGTAAAAATCTAAGGTAGTTCGGCCGTGCGGTTTTGGGCGTGAACGAGTTATACAATGTCATTAAAAAAGTATCCTGTAATAACTGACTTTTAATATCAGTACCTCTGAATACAAATATCATAAATAATCTGTGTTATCTTATGTCTAATCTTGCACTTCTCATTTCCAACTGTGTTCAGTTTTCATCTGCTCCCGGATCTGAAATCAAAGGCAAAAATTATTATTTCGAGAATTAGAAATTTCAATGTTTCCTAACTGTTGTGAGACATGGATGAAATCATCGAGTATAGTCGTGTTAGTCTTCAAATTTGTGTACTAAGCCGGCTGCAGTCCATATTGATTGCTCTTGGTAACAACTATCATTAGAAGCCTTTAGAAGAAATGTTGCATCGTTAAGTAATGGATCGGCACCCTGGATTTTTCAAAAACACGAGAAGTGCTAACACTGCTGCGAGTATTTCTCGCGCGTCTCGAGTGTTCTTGAAATTTAACTGTACTTTTAACTCCGAAAAATGCACAAAGAATAAGATATTTATTTCTATTATGAAGTTTCCACTGACTTTCCTCAGGCCGCATGCACAATATCTATCTAAAGCACGAGCGAGGAGTAGTGCATGTACTTTATTTTATGATAACGTAAAATAATGTTTCGACCAATCATAGCCCATGTCGCCTATTGACTCTCGAGTCCTTGGATGAAATCTATAAGTGTGGCAATTTGTTCGGAAGTTATTATACTACGCTTTTTTTAATATAGGTGCAGTTTGTTTTAGATAGTCCAACACCACTAAGAAGTACTCCCGTCCTCTTTGGCTCTGTTTGTTATGCTATTGAACTACCCCCTTTCACCATTTCATTCCTAATGGTAAAATTTAAGAAATGAAAACTGAGTACCATTAAGCTGATATTCTGCCAAGCTAAGAGGTTTCATTTGAATGGCAACATAGTAGGATTTCCTCCACAGCTTTAGTAGTTAGAGCCAGTTACAAATAATCTCAGCATGACGTGGTCGAGAATTAATAGGGTTAATTCCTATTAGCATGGATTTTTAAATGGCGATCATATCATTGTGGGATTTGCTCCGTTACCCCCTGTAGTGTTTGTGCGGTTTACCTTGGGTGTTTGTTTAAAGAGCCAGGTCACGGTGTCTTCGTTAACTGATTTAGTTTGTTGGCCGGGAGATACTTCAGGGGCACCCAACGACAGTTTTTGGAAAATATCTGTTCGGAAGACGATTTGAGATCTAGAATTTTCGGAACATTTGCTGTAAAATTTCTTGCTTGCATGCCTCTCCTAGGATTTTCGAACATCTAAAAAATGGTATAGTTGCCCATTTTTAACGGATTTTTACCCTAAAAAGGTCACTTAGAGTTTTCGGGAGCCTTTTTTCTGGCTGAAATTTTCGAAAAGGTAAGTTTTGATTCCTATAATTTTCGGATCACTATACTTTCAGCTAGGAAATCCGAACAGATGAAAAATTTCTAGGGGATAAAAATATGCCTGTATCTACCGTTCAAATACTAAAATACGTTCAACAAGGCTATGTTTAAGTGGTTTTGAACTATATTCTCGTTGGGTGCCAATGATACTTAGGTATATTCCCCCAAAGAGTAGGGTTGTTTGAGCCGTTTCGGTTTAAAACGGGACACTATAGTCTTCACCTGTTATGGTCCTGAAAAAGGGTATGGTTTTTAAGTGAACCACAAGAGTGTCTAGACTTATTTTTGCCTGAGATAATAGTCAGAGTGTCTACCACTAATTAAGAATGATAAAGATGCTTGCCAAAACCATACCAGTGTTGACTTCACTTAGACGAAGTAATAGGTTCCCAAACCGAGTTCAACTTTTCAAAAGCCAGGTTTGAAAAAACGGGAATATGGATTCTAAGGCCAGGTCTGAAAACTGGCCGGTGGAAAATGCGTGTTTTGGTCTGAAAAAGTGTCTGGAGTAGAATAGCCTGCGTAGCAGGCGCTTGGAAGTTGTGGGCGAAAGAGAGAACGGGCGCGCGCGAGGGAGACACGCGAGGGGTGAGGTCTCCCCTCGCCTGTCTCCTTCTCGCGCAAACGTTTTTTCTTGTGCAGCGCCTGCTACGCAGGCTGGGACAACCTCGTCCCCAGGGCTTTTCCCTTAAAAAAATGGGTGGGGCGCCCCACCCATTTAAGGGAAAAGGCCTGGGGACGAGGTTGAGGCTGGGAGTTGGAAAACCAGGCAGCACACCACCGCCAAAAATTCCTTAATATCCCCCCACAAGTTTATTTGGGAAATTTGAGAAGTTTAGGTGCCGTTGTTGAAGTGTATTTAGCTCGGAAATCATCATTGTTCGTATTAAAATGATGTGGCCGTGATTTTGTCAATAAAAAAGAAAAACGTTTGCTGTGTAAAACTCGAGAGACTCATAGTTCGTTAGCACGAAATTACCTAACAGTGCGTGACAACCAAGTAATTAAGATACTCGGCTTGACTTCGCTGTGATGTATGTTCGAACCTTTTTCTCAAATCATGATAATGTTTTAGGAGTGCTCTGAATTATGTCACCCAAGTTGAAGCTAGCTAGCGTGTCGCAGTGTTCGCAGTAAATCCAATGAAGGAGGGAACAAGAAACTGGTCAAAGTGAAAAACCTCTGGGACACACAGACAAGACTGTTAAAATAGATAACGATAGTCTAGTTGAAATATATAAGCATGATATTTAAATGAAATCTGTTTAACAGGTAGCACAGTTCTTTGAGTGTGTTAAAATTTCGTTAAACATTTTCTACGAATGCTTTGCTATAACCGGTGTAAAGCTTGGTTTTAAAAATTCTGTCGAAAGGAGTTGCATAAACGGAGAGGAAAGAAAAATATTTCGTCCAAACACTTTTTTTCGGTGACAAAGTTAATACTCGGACCTGTGCCACGGCCTTCTAATCCGGAAAGTCTCTTCCATTGATGTCCGGATAATCAGTTTATAAGTACTAAAATCAGTTTAATGAAAAGTCATGCGATTTGCCCCTTCTTGCTCGTGGATGTTGAAACACGGACAGTAGCAAACGCTTTTTAGGACAAAAAATGGTTTAAAAATATTTTACGAGGCAATGTCGTTGTGTCGTATTTTTTGTCGATATCTTTTTGTCTCCAGTCACTCTTCCTCTCTTTATTTATTTCTTTTCAGAGAGACCGAAGTCAACGTTATTAGATAGCCCATCTCGTTTTTTATTATCTTTGAAGAGAACATTTAGGCCAATTAAAACTTCCTATTTATCTGCTAAGTAGGTAGATGAGTGATACAGAAAGGCAACTGGCCGAGTATGGCCCATTCGCTGAAGCTTAAGAAATGCTCTACTAAATCAAGCAAGTAACATGTAAACTGACTACTATATAGAAGTTGATCTCTCGTATTCAAGGCTAAATAGCCACGGTTAAAATTAGGAATTTCTGCCGCAAATTTTAATAAATGGCATGAAGATTAACTAAGGTTGGGGTCAGTTCTCTAGAATGAGCTAGACAACGCTTCGATCGCGATTATTTTTAGCTCTTTTGACACGTGCTGAAACAACAAACTCAATGATTAGATGGGTTTTTGTTGTTGTTGTTGAACCAGTCGACAAGTCATGACCAGTTTTAGTTTTACACGAGTCTGTCTTTAATTCTGATAATTCCATCTTCCTCTGATCAAATTTTGCTGTTTTGTTTCATTTTAGTAATCAGCACTTGAAAACGCTAGGGGATTAGCTTCATCAATGAACTCCATTTTAAGTTAATTAAACTTAACTAAAGAGCTACATTTTTCGTGTACTCTGAGGCAATTTTTTTTCTTTTTCTTGCATGATTTCCTCTTTTGTATGTAGATCCTCTCAATTTCGTCCAATCAAACAAAAACAGAGGTCAAAGTGCAACAATTTAGTGGTTAAGAAATGCGAAGTGTCGACGATATCGTCTGGGATGTATTCCACACTGTCGAAAAATTAAATAGCAGTAGTGTATTTAAGGCCAAAAATATTATTCCTATCAAAGCTGATTTTACAATGAAACAATGTAGTAAATGAAAATGAGATGCTCTTCTCGGAGAAGATAGCAAAGGTGTTTGCGTGCTTAAACGTAGAGAGACCACAGCTAACTTGTGATGTTTTATCTTGAAATCTTCATTAAAGCAGATTTGTGGAAAGAAACTATTAACTAAACTATCAAAAGTAAACATTGATGAATAAATGACGGAATAGTGTTGTGCCTGCTATATCAGGAAAAACGCACGTAAACAAAATACATGTTTTTTACACGGTTTTTCTTGGTCTGTGTGCTTTCTTCAAGTGATTTTCAATTTTTCGACCTACCAAAGCCGGCCATACCCTTTCTTGCCTTCATGTAATTTAAACAAAGCCAAACGCATCGAGAATTCCTCAAAAAGTGTAAGAAAACTAACTAACCGGATGACATTAAAAAAGGTTAAACTGATCTATAGACACAGACTGGTTTTTCAAACAGTTAATGACTTTTATTAGCTTACCACTTTTAGCTCTAGCTAGGATAGCATAATAATATATAATATATTTTTTTGTCATGATGACAAGAAATATGCGAGTTAGCACTCACAGTAACTCGGTGCATTTTAAATTATCAGCAACGTTTTTAAGACAGTGTATCCGCATTGAAAGTATATCTTACGGTGTATATCACTTTTTTGCACTGATAGCTCTCTATCGATTCTCCATTTCAGGGAGGATTCCCGCTGGCAGTAATCCCAGCGCTGGGTCAGTAATCAGAACACCAAGAAGCTTCTAGAACGAATCCTAGGCTAGACAGGTAATTATCACATATTACTAATGGGTGTAACAAGTTCTTTGCGGAAAATTTCATTCTCCTGCCTACATTCCTTCCATCGAGAAATAATCGTTATTTCCCCCGTTGAGAATTGACAGACAATTTTTAAAATCTTATCTTGTCTATCTTAGGGTTAAACAAGGGTTAAACCGCCGACAAGAACTTAAAATCAAATTTTAGCACATCAGTTTTTATTTTGGA